AAAAATACCAATTAATTTTTATTTAATAATCAATAAAAAAAAATTTTTTTTTTCAGATAAATTAAATTAAATAATAAAATTTTGAATAAAATCTTATTAAAAAAATAATTCTATCAAACCACATGTTATTTTATAAATTTATTAATTTGAATTCATATAAAAAATCATACAATTAAATATTTTTATAAGATTTAAATAATGAATTAAAAATATGCATTATATACTGTATACATACTGTATACATTTTTTTAATTTAATTTTTTTTTTGTATGATTAAAATTTTAAAATTTAACTTGTAAATAACAATATGATTGGTATCTTTAATTGGAGATCATATAAATTTGACTTTTTGAATGCATCAAGGATATTATTAATAAAGATTTCATTAAAGAAATTCAACACATTCTTGGATAATTGGTTTATTAATAGCTAACGACGAAACAATATACCCAAGCTAAAACCAGAAATTATTATTTATATCAATCAATTTGCAAGCTTATTGAAAATCTCATTTGACAAGTCGAAGCTAAAACTTTTTTGTAAAATATATAATATTGATTATGTTTGATAGACAAGAAAAAACTGCACTTTATAAATTTATGCAGCAAAGAATAAAATTTTTGTATATGATCGTCATATTCTACGTAAGAGCATAAATCGCATAAATAGATTGGTACGAGGATCGAAATCTTAATAGAAAATTAATCATGGCCCAGGAAAAAGTAATTCTGGTTACTGGTGGTTCCGGACTTGTCGGTAAAGCCATCGAATGGGTGATCGAAAATGATACGGGGAGGTTTGGGAGAAAGGAGGGAGAAAAATGGATCTTTCTCACTAGCAAAGAAGGGGACCTAAGGTATTATCGGGTTGGCCCTCGGTATATTACTTGGTCAAGGATAAATTCAAAGTTATCTTTTACTTACAATTGCTAATAGGTCGGTTGAGGCTACACGCGCTATCTTTGATAAGTATAAGCCGACTCATGTGATACATTTGGCGGCTTTAGTTGGAGGACTTTTTAAAAACATGAAATATAAATTAGACTTCTTAAGAGATAATTTATTGATTAATGACAATGTCCTTCACACTGCCCATGAACACAAGGTAATGTCCACTGTGTTTATCCTAAATCGCGTGCCTATTCTAATGTGAACCTTGTAAAATCTCGAGTAGGTTCAAAAAGTTGTATCGTGCCTATCTACATGCGTTTTTCCTGACAAAACCACTTATCCAATTGATGAGACTATGATTCATAATGGACCTCCGCATGAGTCCAATTTCGGCTATGCCTACGCAAAACGCTTGATCGACACTCAAAACAAGTATGAATTAATTATCTTTTCTTTATCATTATTTTGTTCAACGATAATAAATCACTATTCTTTAGAGCATATCACGATCAATTTGGGGATCATTTCACTTCTGTCATCCCAACCAACGTGTTCGGTCCTCATGATAATTATGATTTACAAGATTCGCACGTCATTCCAGGATTACTTCACAAGTGTTATCTTGCTAAAAGCATGTATTTACCGTTAATATCATTATTCAATCGTCGTTGTTAATTAGGACCCTTTCGATTAATCGAATAATCATTGTTCAGAAAATGGAACGCCATTTGTCGTCGCCGGTTCTGGTAAACCACTTCGTCAATTCATATATTCACGCGATCTAGCAAAATTGTTTATCTGGGTGCTGAGGGAATACAACGAAATTGATCCGATCATATTATCAGGTATTACCATTAATTTTCATTTATAAGAATTTGATCGTGAGCTCACCAAATTTGGTTTCTGATTAGTGGGCGAAAAAGATGAAGTTTCCATTAAAGATGTGGCTGATTCCATTGTTAAGGCTTTGAACTTTGAGGGAAACTACTCCGTTAGTATAATTGCGTCTTTCTTTGACTCTTTTTGCTATTAACATTCAGATCTCCGTAATAATCCTAACTCTTTAATTAAATGTTAACTCAGTTTGATACTTCTAAAGCTGACGGCCAGTATAAAAAAACAGCTAGCAATGAAAAATTGTTGAGATATCTTCCGGACTTTAAGTTTACTCCATTTGACGTTGGTAAGTGTACACTTTGCTCTATTACTCGTGAGATTCGAATATTTGTATATAATAAGCCATTTACTTCTTATTTTCATGTTAAAAAAAAGCCATAAAAGAATCTGCCGATTGGTTTATTGAAAATTATAACACTGCTCGTACAGGCCATCATTGAGGACAGTTGGCATCTATAAAAATCATTTGTTTTAACATCCAAAAGTTATTCATTCAGTTAACTCCTTGTATCCATAATAAATCTCAACACCATCTTTTGTGAATCCCTCTTCCCAGTTTAATTCATCACGAGAAATCTTCTCCACCTTCCAATTCATTTTTTTTAACCCCTCAAAAAACATTTTATCAGACTTTATCGTGCGCGTTTGATGTGAAAGTATGAGTTTTGTGCGCAAAGGTGTTGATAATGCTATCAATTAAAGAATATTATTTGATGTCTAGCAGTGAAATTTTTGTCGAATAAAAATTTAATAGAATTTTCACTCACCGTCTATTGTCTCGACCAACGGTTGAATTAAATAATCGACCCATACAATATCTGCTCCCATAATGAAATCCAACGGATCATTTTCGAGAACTATAGATTCCGGCAAATTTTCTCTGGAATCAAAATTTATCACGAATTAACATCGAATACTCAACTTACAAGAAAAGGAATTAAAGTACTAACCGACTTAACCAATCTAGGGGTTTAACAATAATGTTGTTTTCTAGTCCATTCAATTTAACAATCTTTTTTATCCGAGGTGTTATATCGGGAACGTCTGTTGTTATAACCTTCTTTGCTCCTAAGATTGCTGCCGTCAAAGAAGGGATCGCTTTACCTGATCCCTTTTTTCAAAGCAGAAATAATCAGGTCAACACTGACTACAAAAAGATCAAGCCTAGAAATGAAAAACGTGATCAATTACAAGTTCAAGAAAATTTTTTTGGGTGAAATTTATTTTACTTTGTTTTTCTTGTTTTTCGAGAAATTTTGCAAGGATCAAACCCTGAAGACAATAGAAAATTTGAATTACTTCTTAGAATCGAATGTGAGAGATATATAAATCAATTCTTACCGCATCCCATACACTGGTTGCTGTGCGAACAGCATGATCTTTTATTTCTACATCGATGTCTTCGGCATCTAATTCCACCACGGCTTCCGAAGGGGAACGACCGTGATATAAATAAATTGGATGATTTTTTATTTTGAAGTTTTGCGGGTCAGTTGAAGCATTGGAAGAAAATTGGAAGTTAAATGAAGGAAATTTCGGCCCCTCGATTAAAAGCAACGGTGCTGAAGATGAATGTGACATTGCAAATACTGTGAATGTGGTTATCACAAAAGATGGTGTTGAGATTTATTATGGATACAAGGAGTTAACTGAATGAATAACTTTTGGATGTTAAAA